GGCTGCTGCGGCCATGGCCCGGCGGGAACGCGGCCCTGTGAAGAGACACAGCCGGGATGGGCACCGGGACACCGGCACCGGGACCGGACACGGCACAGCCACACGGGAACGGGACTGAACACGGGAACGGCACAGCCACACGGGAATGGCACCGGGACCGGACACGGCACGGACAGACGGGAACGGGAACGGACACGGACACGGCACGGACACACGGTACCGGGACCGGCCCCGAACATGGCCATGGTACTGTCCCCGTACACGGACACGGTAACAGCCCAGCCACACGGTACCGGGACCGGCACCGGCCCCGCACAGCAACACGGACTGACAGAGAACCTACACGGCACCGGGCGCGGACCCGAACGTGGGCACGGGACCGGCCCCGCACATTGACATGGGACCAGCCCCGCACAGCCACACGGCACTGACAGAGGACCTACACGGCACCGGGACCGAACACGGACATGGCACCATCCCCGCACCCTGACACGGCCCCGGCCCGGCACGGGGCAGCCCCCGCCTCGTGTACGCCTGAGCGCAGCCCGGGGAGCCGGTGAGGCCCGGGCACACCGACCGCGGGCTGCAAGGGGCAGGGCGGGGACGGGGCCGGGACCGTCACCCCGCGGGGGCAGTGCCAAGGACGGAGCCGGTGCCGGTGTCAGTGCCGGTACCGGTACCGGTGCCGGTGCCGGTGCCGGTGCCGGCAGGACCCGCCCGCCCCATCCCCGCTCGCCCTTACCGGCTGCGCCGCTCGCTCCGCACTTCCGGCATGCCCGGCCGGCGCACAGCGGTGATGTTACCGCAGCGTGGGGCGGGCGGGCGGCGCGGGCTGATGGCGTGCGAGCCACGGTGGGCAGGCCGGTCCTGGTCCCCATCCTCATCCTCATCCCGATCCCCGTCCCCATCCCGATCCCCATCCCGGTCCCGGTCCCGGCGGGCTGCGGCGGTGCCCGCCCGCCCTCTGTGGCATCCCCCGCCTCGGGCCAGCCGGCGGGCCCGTGTCCCGTCCGTGTGTCCGCTGCCGTCCGTGTGTCCGCCGCCGTGTGCTGCTCCTACTTCCCCGGCACGCAACAGAACCCTCAGAAAATGTAATAATTTCATTGAATTCCATTTTAGATGGTGGGAAAATGCCTGCTCCTGTTTCCTCTCCTGTCCGCGGCGGAATTCCCGGCTGGCCGCGGCGTCCCGGGCTCGCTCCTGCCCCGCCAGGTGTCCCTGCTGACCCACGGAGCGCTCCGAGAGCAGTCCGTGCTGAAAACCAGCGCACCGCAACCCCAGCGCTTCTTTGTCGGAGATACATAGTATAATACTGGCTTTTCGCAAGTGTTAAAATGGATTTTGTACGTGTGGTGGTAAAGTAACTTTGTTATAAAGATACGGGTTTTATTTCTGTTGGTAAATAAAGTCAGTGAAATAGCTGATATAAGTGTGCTTAAAAAACCTGCTTGGATGGGATAACATCCAATGGACACCTGTACAGATCTGCCAAGTGTCAGCAAGCTCTGAAGAAAATATGGACCATATTTTGGTCCAAAACTATGGAGAGTTATGGACCAAAGCCCATAACTAGAGTGAGATAGGGGTCTCCTCGAGCCAGGTCTCATCAGCTCTCGGAGATCTGTTTCACACCCAAGATAGCTCAGCTGCCTTGGAAGGCATAAAATCAGCAGGATGGCTTCTGTGGTAGTGTTGGAAACCAAATGTTTTAATAAAAGGCAAAATAACAAAACTCTTTACAGAGAAAAACCAGGTGCAAGAGGTCCCTGCCCCTGGTAAAACACCTCACAAAAGCCATTCGTTTCTTTGTTCTCTCCTTTTTCTGGTAAATTGCTCTTGAGACATTTTGGCTCCTGCTCAATTGGCCGTCCTTAACTTGAGGTGAAGTCCCCCGGGTCCTATGAGGTGGCTTTTTCACTAATTGAGGAAAGAAACTCCTGAGCTTATTTCCTTTTTGAGGAGACAATGGATAGTTTTGTCACTCCGTCAGCAGAGGGCACATTCCTATACTGGAGGTGATAAGAATGGACCAAAACCACGACCAAGGAGTACCCACGTTCTAAAAAGGTGGAACTGAGGAGGAGCCCTGCTAAACAGTTCTTGGGACATGTAAATTAGTTTGGGGGAAAGTTTACAAAGAATTGTTTGTGAATATGTAACAGGCTGGTGCAATAGAAATGGTAAATAAAGGGTGTTTCCAAAATAGTGGGTGTGCTCTTGGCTGAGTGACATAATAGCCTTTGCTCCCCGCTCCTTTTGTCCTTTATTAAACTTTTTAAATTTTCACATGTGAAAAATGCGTATTTTATGATTGGCTTTTCGCAGATATTAAAATGAATATTATATGTGTTGTGTTACAAAGTTATGCTGTATTAATTTTCTTAAGTAGTGTGTTAAATATAGTTTTAGGTTATAACATAATGTTAAAATAGCAACTATGCTGTGTAAGATACTTTTTTTAAAGAGAGGAATGAGGTACTCCCACTGAGATAGCAGCCACAGGACATCTAAATCTTTCAGAGAAAAAGAATTTATTGCTCCATTATCAGAAGAAACTAAGTTCTTCCCACCTTGCTCAGCCCTGAAGACGCTGGTTAGGACTGGGAGGAAGAACCTGACACTGCCCAGACAGAATCCTGTGTTTGAATGGAATTTATGCATCATGTATGAGGTGCATGAATATGCAACAGGTTATTGTTTTTAAGGGTTAATCCTCTGTTAACGTGTATCCTTTTTCGGGTTTATTTTGCCCAGAAAATAGGTATCCAGACATCCATAACTCTTTGTTTCTATTGTCTCATATTGTCCTAAATCCAAATTGTCCAAAATGTTTATTACTCTAATGATATTGCTATTTTTATAACCATTTTATTCCTATTAAACTTTTAAAATGTTAGAAACAAGTGATTGGTGTTTTCCACACACAGGAGAGTGAACATGTTTTTCACAAGAAATCCCCAGACTCTCCTTGTGTTCTCTGAAGCTCTGTGTCCTCTGACCTTGGCTCTCAACTGGAAAATGCTGAAAGCATTTTCCAGGAAACCACACCTGAAATATTCTCTTGAGCCTTGCCCCACCTTGGTGTGAGGTTTCTCCATTTCTTACCGTAATTTGCTTTCCTCTGCTTCCCTCACATCCAGAGCCACTGGAACTGCCTGCTCAGCGAAATAAACTCAAAAATTTTCTTAGGTACTTGCTATTTAAAATAGGTACTGTCCCATTTCCCTGTTTATTGTTATATAATAGCTATAAAATTGGTTATCACAAATCCCCTGTCTTTGCTGTTAACACAGGTACACAAAGATCATGGGTAAAATGGCTTGAGATTAAAATAAATGTGTTCAGGCAGCTTTATTTTCCTGGGTTTAGCTGTTTGAATGTTCTTTATTTTTACCAAAGGGTTTTGTTGTTACAGTCACCATCATTTTTAGACCGATTTTCAATGATCTTGCTGAGGTTTTGTCATGTATTAGTACATTTTAAGGTCAGAAAAGGCAATTTTCATGAGCAACAGGACAGATTTCTTGATAACTCTCAGCAGCCCTTGGGTAAATGTGTTTTTCAGCACTAATAACTGTGGCTGACTTTTATTTCCTCAGGGATCATGTAAATTACCATCCATTTTGGCCAGAATTGCTGTTGCAAATCAGAATAGAAAAAAAAAAAACAATTTAATGGCTGTGAACCTCAGCAATTGTTTGTGGAAGAACCTTTTGAACAGATGTTTAGAGCATGTGCTTCAAAAGGTTCTGTTCTCTACTCCAAAAAGGTGCATTTCACTTCTTGTGCAGGTGTTCCTCCTGCAGTGAAAAAGTTGTCTGAATTCTGCAATGAATTTTGTTGGTTTTATGTTCTCTCTCTGCATTTTGCCTTATTTCTCCTAGATTTAAGTTTAGTAATTGCAGTTTTTCCTGAGTGCAACTTGAAACCAAAGTCAATTAATCTCTGAATCTTGCATGATACACTGATATAGCCTGAATTCAGGTTTATTCCTTTAGCACATTTCCCCAGTGTATTAAAATGCAGATATATTAGGGCTTCATTTAATATTAAATCCTTTAAATACAGCTAAGGAACTGTTCAGAATGTGGGAAATTCAGCAGCATAACAAAAGGAATGAGAGGAATTTCTTTTTTCTTTGTAACATCAAAGCTAGCCCAGCTTTCAGTTGTGCTTCAACATCTTCTTGGTCTCTTTTCCAATACCAAATATTAAATTATTGTGTTTTTCTGCTGAAATATTTGACAGCAAGATTTATGAAATACAATTAAATATAAAGGGTAGAAAAGGTAAACATATTTCATGTATAATCAACTATATTTTGCAAGTCTAGAAACAGCAGCACACCCTTCTGGAGCAGATGGTGACAGTATATTGAGCATGAAAACTCTTTTGGGACATAAAAAATCTACTTTTTTTCCAGCAAAGTTAATGTACAGTTAATATAAGCATAATATCAAAGAGATACAGTAGGATACACACACTAAAACTTGACATTTGATGGAAAGTTTGTGGTTTGGAGGAAGCTATAAATAAATAGGGGAGTTTTTTTAAACAGTTGCAAGTTTCTTCGACTGTGCCAAGTACCTCCACTTGCAAATCTCACTTCACAAGCAATGTGTTTGATGGAGTAAGTTGAAAGAGAAAAATGTTTTTGGCCAATGATGGAAATGTGGTTTCTGTAGCTGAATAATTTATAATCACTGAAGAGGCTGATTTGTGTCTCCATTTCTGTGAGGGAAGTGGTGGTCTCAAGTGGTGAAAGGCTGACAACAGTGTAACAGTTCATGTACTGACCTTGAGGTTTTCAGATTCTTGACCTGAAAGAAGTTGCTCTTCAAATGTGTTAAAACTATGAAATGCACATTTCCCACTGGTACTACCACTTCTTTACAGATTACAGTTTGCCAAAGTCTCACTGTACCCATCCCTTGGAACCGGAACATTTTGCTTGGTCAAACTCCTGAGCTGCACTTGAGCTCCAAAACCCCCGACCAGCATCAATGAATGTGAAGGATCTTTTTAAAAGTCTTCTTGAAATTGTGGTTGCAGAGAGGATAGAGGAATGGGTTTAAGGTGGAGTTGATGTAGCCCAGCCATATGGTGAACCTGTGCAGTTCTGAGAGCTGTTTGTGGTCGTGGAACGTTATCACCATGAAGAGCACGAAGTAGGGGATCCAGCAGAGCATGAAGGCTGCCATGATCACCCCCAGCTGCCTGGCTGCCTTCCTCTCCCTATTCCCGTGCCAGTGGATGCTCCTGGAGTGCCTGTGCAGGGTGTGCCAGGTTTTCCTCAGGAATGTCATTCCCTTGGAGTCCCTGCGCTCTGTCCTTCCCTGAGGACAGCGGGCTCCTCTGGGGCTGGGCTCAGCCCGTGGGGCCACCTCAGTGAAGGTGTGGTTGTCTGATGCCCCGCTGGAGTCACTGTCCTGGCAGCCAGGCTGCTCCTGATTCCCAGGTTTTTTCGTGGCACACTCCCCCCTCTTCCCTGCTTTATCCAAGCCAGGCTCGGGCTTGGCTGTGGTGAGAGAGAAACAGCTCCACTTCAGGACCTTCCCGTTACTCAGGCCCTTTGAAGCCCCGTCAGGATGGCTGAAATTAAGCCCTGCCTCCACATTTTTGGGCTCTGGGGAGCTTTGCTTGTCTGCAGTGGGGGTGTTCCCACCTAAGACTTGCTCCTGGAGGCAAATATTTTTCTCATCCTTCATCTTGGCCTGAGGAGTGGTGTTTTTTTCCACGGAGGACCAGTAGGACCCATTGCTGAGCTCTCGGTGCTGGCAGTGCTTTCGAACAGCCCTGAAGATTCTGCAGTAGAACCACAGCATCAGCAGCGAGGGCAGGTAGAAGTTGAGAATGGCCGCCAGCACTTTGAACCAGGTGACCTCGAAGAACTCCGTCTCACACTTGTTCTCCTCCACCGTCCTGTTCCCGTTGTTGGCAAAGACGTGCCAGCCCAGGATGGGGATGAGCCAGGTGAAGGAGAGCAGCCAGACCCCCAGGATGAGCAGCGAGGCTCTCATCTTGGTGCGGTACTTGAGGTACCGGAGCGGCTGCTGCACCGAGCGCCACCGGTCCATGCACAGGATGAAGAGGTTGAAAATGGAGGCCGTGCTGGCCACGTAATCCATGGAGAGCCAGAACAAGCAGGCTGCCAGCCCCAGGGGCCACTGGGGGCTCAGCAGGTCCACGATGTTGAGGGGCATGACGGCCGCCCCCACGATCAGGTCGGCGATGGAGAGGCTCACGATGTATAAATTGCCCACGGTCTGCAGCTTCTTCTCTGTTCTCACGGCACACAGCACCAGGATGTTCATGACAATGGTGATCAGGGAGATGCTTCCCAGGAACAGGCCTAGGAGGGCTCGGGGAGCGTTGCTGGAGGCCTCTGTTGTGTTGTTGGACATCTTTTTGGTGAGGGAGAAGCAGAGCGGGCGTCCAGGCCTTGGACGTTCAGTCATGGTTTGCACTCCTGCGTGAAAACGTGTTGGGTTGCTTGGGGATTTTTATTTCCAGAACTAGAGAAAAGAAAAGAAAAAAAACCCTACTCAGTCACTGTAATAATAAGATAATACAGCTAATTTTTGCCTCAGCTTAGCACTGTCCCTTTTAGGGCTTTCCTAAATAACAAATTTTTAAGACATTTTACATGTTGAGTTTGCTGGGTCCCTAGGATGAGGTGAGAGATGAGGAATCTGATTCCATGTTCTCAGAAGGCTAATTTATTACCATATGTTATTTATAATATATTAAAGAAGTGCTATACTAAAACTATACTAAAGAATGGAGAAAGGATACAGACAGAAGGCCACAAAGAATGGTGGTGAAAACTTGTGACTCCTCTCCAGAGTCTGACACAGCTGGCAGTGATTGGTCATTAAGTAAAAACAATTCACATGAAACCAGTCAAACAATGACCAGTTGGTAAACAATCTCCAAACCACATTCCAAAGCAGCAAAACAGGGAGAAGCAAATGAGATAATATTGTTTTTCTTTTTCTCTGAGGCTTCTCAGCTTCCCAGGAGAAAAATCCTGGCAAAGGGATTTTTCAGAAAATATGACAGTGACATTTACATACAGGTAATTTGTGTTTTAGGAAACCCCACTAACCAATTCCAAACAGTTTTCATGGAGCTTCATCTATTTCAGATCCTACAATCTGAAGAAGAAATTTAATTCCTCACATTTTAATTCATCATATCTCATTAAACAGCTGATCGTGAACCATAACATAAACTCCATATTGGCAAACCAATTTAAAATGTGCTAGTGAAAAGCAATATTAACATATTTTATACTGAATAATTTACACAAGCCAGTGCTTATTTACAGCCTCTAACAGTTTGAGAATCCAGCAGTTGGCAGTCAGTAGGCAGTCGTTCAAATTATAGGTAATGAGTAATCTCTTCCTACACAATTTAGGCTCACACAGATTTCAAACATTTAAAGATGCCAGGCCTATTCTAGATTAAATGCAAAATATTAGGATTTTTCAGGATTAATAAGCATCTTCTGCTTCCCAACTGCTAACTTCATGTATTGATCCACAGGGCAGGATTGACTAATGATATTTTATATCTTGGAGCAAATGATAACTGACCAAATTCTGCCTCCTGTCCATTGATGAAAAATGTCTGTGAGGGTGAAACACATTCTGTGCCATTTCATAGCTTGTCTGAGTTTATGTTCTGGTAAATCTCTTAAAGCAATAAGGAAGGAAATTGAGACTGTGCATATATTTGCTCAAAGTATTTACACAACTAGCATTGAGGTATGCATGGGATTTCTCACCCTCATAACTCCAAACATGGCCAGAGCAACACAATGCAACAGATTGTTCAATAATCAGCATTTCCTACTGAAACTCAGTGATGCAATACTTCTTTAACTTTATCCTTTTTATTCCAGTAATCAGGGTTTAAGCTCAAATGATTTATGCTGCCTTATGAGAGGTCAAATTCCTTCTTGCCTGGGCTTTACTCACAGGTGGGTGTTGGGAGAGGAGCTGTGTCCCTTGTGCCAGCAGCATCCATAGGCAGAGGAGTCAGGGGAGTGCTGTGATCCTGGATCCTTCAGGCTCTGCCAGGACAATTCCTCTGTGGCAGCTGCTCACAGCTCACAGAGCCCTCATCTCCTGAGAATGAGCACAAAAACGATTCCATGGATGTTGAGAACAGAAACTGCTCTATGGATGTTGAAGACAGAAATTATTCCATGGATGTTGAGGACAGAAATGAGGATGTTGAGGATAGAAATGACTCCATGGATGCGGAGGGCAGAAATGACTCCATGGATGTTGGGGACAGAAACTGCTCCATGGATGTTTGGGACAGAAACTGCACCATGGATGCTGAGGACAGGAATGACTCCATGGATGTTGGGGACAGAAACTGCACCATGGATGCTGAGGACAGGAATGACTCCATGGATGTTGGGGACAGAAATGACTCCATGGATGTTGGGGACAGAAATTATTCCATGGATGTTCAGGACAGAAATGACTCCATGGATGTTGAGGATAGAAATGACTCCATGGATGTTGGGGACAGAAACTGCTCCATGGATGTTGAGGATAGGAATGACTCCACGGATGCTGAGTACAGAAATGATTCTATGGATTTTAAAGACAGAAATGACTCCATGAGTGTTGAGGACAGAAATTATTCCATGGATGCTGAGGACAGGAATGGCTCCATGGATGCTGAGGACAGGAATGACTCCATGGATGTCAAGGACAGGAATGGCTCCATGGATGCTGAGGACAGGAATGACTCCATGGATGCTGAGGACAGAAATGATTCCATGCAAGTTAAACCAGCCTGTCTGGGAAGTGGTCACATCCCAGTCTGTGTCTTTGTCTCCAGCTCTCCGGATGTTTTTAAGTGCAGGGGCATGGCCAAGGCAAGGAGCTGATGTAAGAAGCTGGAATGACTGATCTTCACCCCCATGTACTTCCATTTAAATTTATGGCAAAATAAAGGGAGAAAAGGCAGCTTTAATTGGTCTTCAACTGAAAAAATACCAGCAAAGAAAGCTGCCTGGTTAGCCAGCTCTCCTTGGTTGCATATGGAATACATGAACTGCATTTGGGCCTGGATGATCTCCAGGGATCCTTCCAGCCCTAACAATTCTGGGATTCTGTGAATAAACCAGCAGAATACAGTAAATGGTGTTCACTGCTTCCCAAACCTTCTCCTTGGCACTGCTGAGGTTGGATAGGGCAGGATTTAGGAAGCAACTGGCAGAATTGATCAGGGCAGCTCCAGCTCCAAAGCAGGTTAATGTGCCCTTTCTTCAGGAGCTTCTGATGTCATTCCTTATCTCTAACCCAGCAGAAGAAAGCAACAGTAATGAATAAATGGGCTTTAATGTTTGCACAGTTTATTTACACTGAAACAAAGTTCACTTAGAACAGATTTAAAAACAAAAAAAAACGGCCAAAAGCCTTGGATTGCTTTGTGGAAATTCTAAACCCTGACCTCACCATGAAATGCCTCCTTAAGTTTTGCTGTCTGTGAAGAGCTTTTTCTACAGGGAGGCTCAGCAATCATGATTTGTTATTGTATTGCATTTCCAAGGAGCAAGAATCTACTGGGAGATGCTAAGTGGATGCCTGGTGCCTCTTTAGTGCAGGTGCAATCTATTAAACCCTGACTGAGTGGGAGAAAGTTTCTAGAAACTGCCACGTCTCTTGCTGACAGGTTTTTAAGAAATTAGAGCTCCAAAGGGCAAAATTCTTGTTCATCAGACTAAATTCAAGCAGAAAGTGAGATTTGATTCAGACTAAATCCAAGCAGAAAGTGAGATTTGATTCAGACTAAATCCAAGCAAAAAGTGAGATTTTGATTCAGACTAAATTCAAGCAAAAAGTGAGATTTTGATTCAGATGGCCTTTACTCACTCTGTTGTACTTAAGAAACTTATTTATTTATAGTGATTTTTTTCCCCTAAATTATCCTTGAGCTGTTGAAAGTACTCACATGTTAGGAGTTTGATTAATTTCCCTCTCAAACACTCATTTATTTCTCTGTAAGGGAACAGTCCCTATTTAATGCCTGCCAATATTCAAGGAATATTTCTGATAAAAAGTAAATGAAAAAACTTGGTAAAAGCTGCCTGTTGTTCCCACTCAGATGACAATGTCTCAGCCCAGCCAGGACAATTTGGAAGTGCAGCTTCAGGATCCTTCAAGCAGCATAACCAGCTACATAATTAAACAATTTTCTCCACACCACTGTGCTCACTTCCTTTTTTTCCTAAGTAAATTTATTATGTTTAAGTCTCAGCCTTAACCTGAAATGATCAGGAGATAGATACAGACTTTTTTTGACACTGGCTGGCATTTTTTAAACAACTCTCTTTACCACTTATCCTAAAGTCCATGGATATTAAAAAGAGTCAACAGAAGATGGCCACATTCCAAAGAACGTTTTGGCCTTCCAAATGTAAGCTCAGATTTCCATGAAACTCCTCTTTTAGCAGCTCATTTTTCTAGTAAAATTTGTACTGAATGTCAGTTTTTCCATGACAAAATCCAGTCTTGTTCTTGTGATAGCATTTCCCAAATATGGATTATTTTTACCAAGAGATTCGAGGAAAATCTCATCTTGACAAGAATCCCAAAGCTTCCAGATATGTCATTAATTTTCCCTGCTAGTCTAAACATTACCAATATCAAAAAATTGGTCACCAATGTGATCTCTTAGCAAAACAGTATTTAAATGTAATTTTCTTTAAGTACTGCTGTGCTGTCTTATATTCATTGCCCCATTACTTGTGTGTAAAAAGGGAATTTTCTATAGGTGCCAGACCTGTGAAATCACTGCTGTGATGGATGAAAAGTCCTCTGTGCTGTGATGCAGGAAATAAACTCTTGAGCAGTAAAATCCATAATAAACAAAGGGGAATTTCCCAGCAATGTGGCTCCTTTAAAGCTGAGCAGCTGCAGTGGTGCCATTCTGGGTTTACAATTTGTTATCCCAACTCAGTCTAACAAGACATTTTTCCTACAAGGATAGCAAAAAAAAAACCTTGATTTTTTTGGACTCCATCCCCTGACAACTGTAAACCTTGGTGGGTTTAATCCCTCTGCATCAGAAATGCAATTAACTTTTAGAAATGTAACTCACCCTGTCAATCAAACATTAATATCTGGTTTTTTCCAAGGGGCTTGGGAAATCACCACTCACAAAAGTAAAAAACAATGTATGTGAGTAAGAGCTGGGAGCTCTTGCAGTGGTGAGGTTGATCACTATGAAAACTCTTTGGGGATTTACTTGAATTCAGCTCAAGTGAGCTTTTGGTGCTTTGGAACTGTAAGAAAACCATCAGAAAAATGCACAGATTTTAAAATCCTGGTGGGTGTGAGGAGTCACTGTCTCCTTGTACTGGGAATAAAAGTAAACC